TACGTGATCCGGCCGGCCGTGCCCTCGGAGACGCTGACCCTGGAGGTGCAGTACGAGACGGACCGGCGGCTCTTCGTGGACTTCCTGCCGGCGCTCACCATGGGCGACGGCGTCTCCCTGATCGCCAAGCCCCACCGCTGGGCCGAGCGGCACGAGAACCTGTGGCGGCAGAGCTTCCGGGTGGAGGAGACGGCGCGGCTGCGGGCGCTGGACCAGGAGGACGGGGGCTGCCGCTGCGTGTGCCTGAAGGTGGCCAAGGCCGCGTGCAAGCTGAACCCCGCCCTCTCGCGCCTCTCCGCCAGCCAGCTGACCAATGCCCTGCTGCTGCTGAGCGAGAGGGAGGGGGACTGGACCCAGGAGGCGCTGGCCGACCGCTTCCTGCAGCTGCTGCGCGCCCTGGTGGGACACCTAGAGGCCGGGAGGCTCCCTTGCGCCCTCTACCCCAAAGTCGATCTCTTCTGCGAGCTCACCCCTCAGGAGGTGGACGAGCTGGGCTACACCCTCTACTGCGCCCTCTCCGAGCCGGAGGGGCTCCTGAGTACTGCCTGACCCCTGCCATCACTGTGCCACCCGGGGACCACTGATGACAAGTGACAGAGGGTCTTTATCAGAAAAGCTAGCTCCACCCACTCCTGTGAAATATGAACGTCATCGCTCATGTCTTAGCCTCAGCTGTTGGGCTGTGCGCTCAGTGCCTTTATCTGCATTTTAGAAGCACCTGGAGTTCCTCTCTGTCCAGGTTTTCAGTTAGAACTGGGCGTGTGTACAGTTGAGGATCCAAAAATGAATTCACCCTGAAGCGTTTCAGATTGTTCCAACAAAGAGTCTTGTTGAGAGTATTGGCTTTTATCATCATACGATATCATCTGACTGCAGTGACTCAGTGCACAGTGCAGGAACAGGGGAATTTCATGTTTGCTCAGTTCCACTCCACTTAAATGCACAGACATGTATACAACATGTATCTGAAGAGCTGTTAAGGTAGGATGTAGTGATGCTGCATAGCAATCTGAATTCTCCTCTCGAGTTGGCATTTGGAAAAAGTGTTACGAATAAAAAAGGTAAATGTGTGCGTATCAAGTAATTTTTCTTTAAAAATGCAGATGAAGTTAACAGAGCAGCAAAAAAGGAGCGTTAGACGAGAGTAGTGATGACTCAGAAGGAGGGGAGGGGGGATTGAATGATGACCCCTCAGTAGTGAATCCACAAGCTCCAACAAACACGACTGGCCACTGTGTTTATTGCCATTATGCACACTGCAAACTGTGCCAGCTCCTTTAATGGGAGTTGTCCTGCCACATGTTTGAACACGGTCAGCTCTCGACAGTCTTGAGAATCGGTGAAAAATTGTCTGTGCTGTCAAGTGCATCATTTCCTGCAGCAGTGGAATGGCAGTATTTGGCTTGCTGTCGCTGCTTTCCACTTATTTTTCTTTTTTTTTTTTCTTCAGCTGAACAGAAGCTGTTTTGAACATTATGACTTTGAAACTCAACAGGTACATTGGTTTTCAACATTTTTAATAAGAGGGCTTTGGTCACTGGTTGCCAGTTTATTCAGGTTCAGTTACAAAAAGCAAATCCCTAAATCTGTGATTCAAGACATACTGAAACAAATATTTGCTGGTATCAACCACAGCGAATGAAGATTTTCAATGATGAGCTTGAGAAATAGTATTCTTTTTGTCGCCCGAGTGGGTGGTATGGATGTATACAGGAATCCTCCCATTGCATACAAGTTTGACCATTGGGTTTTAAATAGAATCCTCTGGAGTGTATTCTGTGTACTCTGTGTGTTGTGTGTGTGTGTGTGTGTGTGTGTGTGCGTGCATATAACGCTGATACTCCCTATTTTCCTGTCAAACAGCACATTGCTGTCTTTGTGAAAAGTAAGTTTTCCTTCTAATAACAAGCAGCAGGGAAATCTTGTGAAAACTGGAATAGGTAATATATATCGATGCATATGTCATGAAATTCTGTCAAACTGTGGAAGAGGCTGAGCCATCTGGAGAACTTTATATGTTTGTGAAGGCATTGACACAGATTGGGGGGGGAAGAAGCTGTTCCTAGCTGTGCACAAACTTAATGCACGCACGCTGGCATGTTGTCTGACCTAGTGAGTAAAGTCTTTTTCCTAGGCTGCTCATTTTTCACTTCAGTGTGCATTTTCTGTTATGTCATTGGCAGCCTTGTTTCACAAACCTGGCTGTTGCTCATCTTGGCCTCTCTTTGTAGATGAAATAGATTGTAGGACACCAATGTACTGAATCAGCAATCAGTGCTGATGTGAGATAAGGAAGCCATCTCTTTGCTTCTGGTGCGTCATAGTCTTCCATACTGAAATGCTTTTCAGTCTGTTGATTTTTTGAGGACTTGGTGTTGACAGGTCATTGACAGTTCTTAGTTTTGTGATATAAGATACTAGAGGTGTGTCCTCTACAGTTTGGCTGCATCCCCTGCCTTGACAGCAATGTTGCTTTTCAGTTTAAGGCACAGAAATTCAGGATGACCTTTTTGGTTCTTCTAAAAGTTGGATTCAGGTATTTATTTTTAGATATTTATCTGCAAAGATTCAACTTCTGTTACTGGTTATGTCTCATGCAGAAGAGTTATGTACAGATTTGGGGGTTAGTGAAATTGGGTTGTGCAGTGATGCCATTTTATAAAGATGTGCATATTGTGTGAAAACATTAATATTTTTGTACTGTATAGCCAAAAAGATTATCAGAATATTTATGTTTGTAATATGACCACACCACACCAGACCTACCCTTGGATAAATAAAATACCTCACCATAGATTTCATTGAATTGAAAGGGTTTCTACAGGTTATTTAATCCAAAGTGGGACCTAGTGGAAGAGGGGAGAGCAGCAGGCCTCTGTGTTCTGCTTTTCCATTGCTTGCACGGTTAAGATAAAGAGGAACTTCTAAACAATGTGGCAGCATTAACTATATGAGATCAACTAAAGGTGTTATTGTCTAGGTTTTTGGGAAGCCCACCAGGTAGACCTTTACTGCTCTGTGATGGATTACAGTCTGGCGATGTCCTTCAATTCAGTTTTTTCCAGAAAATGTGCCACACAAAATCACTTTGTACTCAGTAATAAAGGTTGTCAAATGCAAAAAAGGCAGTCCTAAAATTTTCTTCACAATTGAGAGGCACACAGTTATCAGCAAGTAGAGTGTTAATGTTTTTTAAAGACATTGGCCCTGCTGGGCACACAGTTAATTATGTCATGGAGCTCCTTCCAAACTGCATGGAGTGAAATGGGACAGTGCTGGTGTGTACACAGATCTACTATTGTATAAGCAGTGCTTTCCTATCAGTTTTAGGCATTTATGCCACTTTATTTTCCTGTTTAGAATTAATTAACCTGTCTATGTTGGTCACCAACCAGTGACATATTTAAAATCATCAAATTAGCAGTGAATGCATACCCTGAATGAGGTGCTGCTGACAGACAATTCACTGTAGAGCTGGTTCCATGTCATGATGGCTGAAGTGCCCAGATTTACAGACCTGCCAGGACACACAGCAAGTCCAGCTTGTTGCTCACTTCTTGTGAAGAAGCTGGAAAATACCTCCTGCATAACATGAACAGAGAGAACAAAAAGCATCCAAAAGTAAATAAACCTGCAGAAAAAAACCCAGCATTTAGCCAAACAGAGCCAAATTGCTGAAACAGTCAGCCACTAACAACAGTCACACATACCTGTGTTTAATATGCCTCTGATTTGGCAGGTGTGGCTTATTAGCTAATGGCTTGTCAAGTACAATTAACAGACAGAAAATGCCAAAGTACCAACAGACAATTACAATTAAACAATTAATTGGTTTGAATGCAACTGATTGAAAGGTACTCAGTTATTGAGAAAATGGCAAATGGAAGACAAAGATCCTTGCATAAACACATTGTGAAGTCTCTCCTTCACACCTGTAGCAGCACCTGTAAAGTCTGGACCTCTTGGGTAGGGCCCGGCGAGGTCTCCCTACCAATAATCACCTGGCAACCGCCCCATGCATAACATCATCTGGTTGCCGACAGCCAAACCTGCAGAGCTGGATGAACAGAAGAGCATGCCAAATATGCAGTGCATGAGTGACTTCGATCTGCATCATCATCCACGGCAGCCTAGACAGACAGGTTATTGTTGTGCAGACGTTACGCCTTCAGAGTGTTTAAGGACACATTTTGTCATGCAAGCATTCCTCGTTTCAGTGGACACATACATGCACATGGACATGTGCCTAGAAGTGGCAAAAGTCATTATCACCACATGCACACAATCCAAGCTGCTGGTAAGTTCTGTGGGTGACATTGACACAGTGTAGCTCCCCCTGCTTATCATTGTCCTCTGAATTCAGCTCATCCCCCATGGTTACTGCAAGGTCTCAATGGGAAGGATAAATCTTGTGGGTGCAGATTTAATACAGTAATGATTCTGATCATCATCCTTTTGCACCATCTTTTATCAGCTGTAACATATGCATGATTATTGGGGGAAATGTACTGTGCAGCAAATGTCAAAACACCCAAAAATGCAAAGATTTTCTTTCAATATATCCAAACATCCACTGCCAATTAACCCCCTGTCCCCACCACACACACATATACATTTTATCCCCACACATCACTAGGGAAGGATGTATAAGGTGAATAAGTCACACAAAAGGGTGTCCAATGCCCAGTACTCAGTTAAAATCTGCTTTGGTGAACAACATGCAGGACTGACACTGCATTCTCAAACTGCTGGCCAGGAACCACCAAGCCTGCAAACTGAAGGCACAGGGGAGAGAGATCCAAACAGGTGCAGTACTGCTGCATGCACATGATTAACAAGTTCCACTGCTTTCGATATGGCATGGTCACAGACAAGATGATTCCATGCCTTCTGCCAGAAGATTGCTGTATACTTACTGCAATGAGAAGCAGAGGAATGGTAAAAGGTCAATAAAAAGTACATGGGAACTCATATTAAAAAAATGCCATGAAGAAGAGGGCAGCAGTGTAGTTTAGTGGTTAGGGAGCTGGACTCATAACTGAAAGGTTCCCAGTTCAATTCCCCACTGGGGCACTGCTGCTGTACCCTTCAGAAAAGTACTTAATCCACAATTGCCTCTGTAAATATCCAGCTGTATAAATGGATAACATTGTTAAAAAAAAACCTGTCATTGATGTAAGTTGCTCTGGATGAGAGCATCTGCTAAAAAATAATGCCAAAAAAGAAGAGTACATGTGTGCAATCCACTGAGACTGCACATGGATTGGAGGTTTCCAGTGTACTGACAGACTGTTCAATGGAAGACTTATTTGCTTACCAGATTATCTTATCCCTGGTGACTTTCAAACCTCACATTTTATCCATTTATACAGCTAAATGTTTATCAAAGAAATTCAGATTAAGTAGACTGCTCATGGGAACAGCCCCTATGTCACACTGCCACTGTGGGTGTGCTCTGTATGAAGCGAGCTCTGCCCTTTAACTCAGTAATTATGATGTGTTTAAAATAACAGGATAAAGCCACAGAGATGAAAGAAAAGTTGGGAAGAAGTTACACCCTCCCTCTCACCTTCTCAGTGGCTATAAAGAGAGATGACAAGAGCACAGTTAGAGAAACTGAAAGCTCTGTCATCTCTCTTGTCACAGTGAAGGTGCACTCGCAGCACAGATATATTAACAGAACAGAGAGACCCCAGGGAAGGCATACAAAAAGAAAAAGCAAGAAAACCTGAACACCTACAAGGGATTTTGAAAAATGGCAAATGTAAGTTAAGTTTTTCTTACACACTTGATGTAGAGGAATTGCCCTGCGTCACAATTATTGGATTGGTCCAATATTTCAAATTCTAATAAGTTATTATAAATTAATTATAATGATAAATAATATTATACACATATTTGTGACACCTTACTAGAATGCTAATTTGAAATAGAATGATGCACACAATTTGTAGTTAGTCGATCACTGCAAATGCTCAATAATAGCAGTTATGAGTGATAGGTATGATTACTGTTTCTGTGGTTATTGTGTTGTTTGTGCAGCCTCAGACTGCAGAAGTGAGGGACAAAATTACAATTCAGAGAATTAATACAAAAATCAGATGTCAGTGGTGTACAAGGTAAATGCAACTACAAAGAACACCAAAGGAGGGATAGTGCACTGCACCGAACCTTTCTTTTATGAACAGCTTTGTGAGGATGCTCCAGAAATTATTTCCCCAAAAATCAATTTTAAGAAGTCACTTTATAGCACTACTGTTAGCTATTCAAAATGCACATTTTTGTGACTAACTGGTTGTGGTTATGCTTTGGCATCAGATCGTGCTAGCAGGTATAGACAAACATCCTATACATTCCACACCTGCTAACACCTGCTAAGTCTGATGATAGTCACCAATAGGTGCTGAAACACAACCACTACCATTTAGAAAGAGAAATGTGCTTTTTTGGAAAGATAATGGTGATTATGTAGTGATGCAAAAAAGATGAATCTTTAAACTGATCTATGGAATGCCTCCTGTCATTGTTTCCTTGCCAAGTACTTCAAATTTTTTGAATGACAACAGGAAACTGAAGAATAAATGTTAACAATACCTACATAACCTCAATATACCACAAATATCATTGAATCCACTCTTGGTGTAGTGCCCTAACTAATCAAAAGCAGGTTAAACAGGCTGTCAGGCTCAAAATATGTCAAAAAAGCAGATGTCAAACAACAAGGAATTCAAGGAATGCTGGCAAATTTGATCATCGGGATTGACACGTCAAACTTTATTAAAGCGACCGTGGTGAATGGCTATATTCATTGTAATGAATCAAAACAGAAACCAAACCGCATATCATGACCAGAATGCTGCCAACTTTTTCTCAGAAAAGTTTTGAAAAACATCCCAATTATCCTTCCCCAACAGGCACCAACTCCTCTCCCCAGGACGCGTTACCAAACAAATGCCATAGGGACTGGACCGGGGTCGCCTACCTCATCTGATACACAGGAAGGTAGTGATGTGAGGGTAAGAATCAAGTGAATTTGACAGTCTATCACCTCTTGATCTAGGTATCCACTTATTGCCTGCCCTTAGCCTGGACATTGTTATACTTTTAACAATCACTAGCTGTATGGTTGCATGTATCAAATATAATTTTTGTAACATATCTATATGGTCAATAAAAACAGGCCTTCAGCTACTCGTTCTAACAACCGTTATAACAACTGACGTTATTAGATAGATAGATAGATAGAACTTTATTGATCCCACAGCGGGGAAATTCACATGTCACAGCAGCATTTAGACAGAGGTAGAAAGAGTGGCAAAGTGCAAAAATGCAATAACGTAAAAAAATACAAAAACACAAAGAAGTACAGAAGAAGAAAACAAAGAAAAATATAATCATATATATATAAAAAAACAGAACCAATAAAATAGTAAATAAGTGTACATTAAGAATAAAAAAAAATTGTAGATTTTACCAATGTAATACACTGCACTCTTATTCAATGGAAATTCTACTATAAATATTGTGACAAGACCCCTACTCTAGCTTACAAAGTCATGTTCAAAGACTTAGTAATGATGAATTGAAGTGCAATATGGCTTGCTTCATGTTTTTGAGTAATGCATGGTTTATTTATTACAAATCTCCAATTTCTGGTCATCAGAATGTACATCCCTTGAAGCAGCCACCTCCTGTTTCCCCAAAGCCCAAGTCTGTGACCCTCTCTCCCACAGTGAGACATTTTGACACCACAGAGGGAAGAAGCCAGATGACTGTGGAGGTATCTACAAGATAACAAGTGACTAGAATCACTTGAGACATTCATCGGCATTAAGGGATTCTCAGTAGTATTCACACTAACAAACTGGTTTTATGACCGGTTCTGTCTCTCACTACCATTGACTGACATGGGAGGCATTAGAAATGACCTCTGATGAACTGATTCATCTGCTGCTTTCAGGTATCTAGCCCATCTAGCCATTGTGGTGTAAAAAAAAACATTGTGGTATGAAAAAATGTGACAGTACCATTTTTTATACTTATACACATGTGGCCAGCCAGTCGCATGTGAGAGGGAGTACACAACTGAGCAGCATTCTCATTTAAAAATACACTGACAGGTTGGGAAGGAAAGGACATGTTATCTACAATTGCCATTTTGACTTGCAGTAGATTAAGTGTAAATTACATGATTTATTAAGTACAGCTTAACTACATTGTTAGTAAAACAGGGCTTGGACTACTAACCATACCAACACAACTAATTTACCTGACTGTACTGTTATTTAATGAAAGTTCTGCTGTAAATGTTGTAATGCAACCCCCTCCTCTAGCCTGCTCATAATGACTTGAAGGGAAATATGATTCATGTTTTTGAGTAATGTATTGTTTATTGATAACAGAACTCCAAGGGCTTTGGTTATCCCAAAATAAAGCAGCCACCACCTGTTGCCCCAAAGCCAAAGAAGGTGACCCCCTCTCCCACTGAGGGACCTTCACGTGGTTGTGACACTGTGGACGGCGGCACCCCTGTGACGGTACCTATTATATGAGTTTATTGGCTGAAATTTATTTACTTCACACCACAGAGCTGACAGTGTGTTTTTAACATGAATTTGTTTCTAGCTGTTAAACAACAGTTGCCCTGACTGCTTCTCTCAATAAATCATCGACCGACTAAATGAATGGCTCCCCCCAGTGTAATGTCAGTGCCTCCTTTTACCACTAGATGGCGAAAAGGCCAGGGGAGTTTAGCAGTACCAGTCCAGTGTTTGTTTTAGTCCAGTTCATTGTGCTTTCCATGTTCCACAGCAGTCACCTCCAGTGCTCCCTCATCATGCACAGTGGCAAAAGACTTCACTCAACTCCTCAGAGGAGAAGGAGATTCCTCTTTACCAAGAAGTACTGCCTGTGGGAAAAGTAGCTGAGGTGAGAGGCACAGCTAAAAACACCCTGAAATCAGCAGACAAGCACAAATATTCTCACATATGAAGTAATCCGGTGCCTATAGACTTTGTTGTTTTTTTGGTAACAGCCCTAGAAATGATAGCGGACCTCCCTGCCTCACTCAGCGAACGGCTGACTGACTGAATTATTGGCTCCCCTCGATGTAATGTTGGTGCCTCCTTGTACCATTAGATGGCGAAAAGGCCAGGGGAGTTTAGCAGTACCAGTCCAGTGTTTGTTTAATTTCAGCTCATTGTGATTTCCATTTTACATAGCTGTCCCCTCCAGTGCTCCCTTGTGCACACTGGGCAAAGACTCCACTTAACACCTCAGAGGAGAAGCAGATTCCTCTTTACCAAGAAGTACTGCCTGTGGAAAATGTGACTCAGGTAAGAGGCACAGCTAAATATACCCTGAAACCAGTAGACAAACACATATACCTTAAACTACTCTGACCACAGGAATCCAGTTCAGTGTCTGCCATCAAGTGGAAACAGAGGTAGGGGAATATTTTAGCATGCAGCTCGTGTCTGTATTTTTTGTGATGCTAAGGTATTGCTGGGTGCCTACAGACTTTGTTTGTCTTGGCCCAGTGGCAGAACCCACCCCAAACAATGACCCAGTTTATTAACCTAACCTTCAAATTCAATGTTGAAGCTAAGCTTGAGACTCAAATCTGATGTCTCTTTGGACCTAAACCCTTGGCGCTGTTGCTGAATTGACCACAAAAGCTACAGCAACACAACTCACAAGCTAAACAATCAGCCTTAAAAGACAATGCTGAACAATATGGTGCCAATGGTCCCTTAGGCCTAAATATAGACACCTTGCTCTGTGCTTCTGCAGTAAAACATGTTCCCAAAACTCAGGTTTCAATAAATCTCTGTAATCCTAGGTGAAAAACAGTGGAAGTGTCAGCAATTCATACTCCGCCAAGCCTCGGCCATATTTACCTTTTCAAAATCCGTGCACCGGCATCCCCCGGGATAACAACATAGGCGTCTCAAGCAAGAAAAAAACAAGCAACAACTATGAGGTACCATAAATATTCAAAATGTGATGATAATTTTGGGACAGCATTGTTTAACTAAATACAAACCAAAATGTATTTTTTGATTAAACTCACATCACAA